CTACCTTGGCTGTAACCAGCCTACAATGACAGCAAGAAGTACAGAACATAATCCGGCGATAGTAGGACTTGTCGCTCCAGTGAACATGAGAGTGACTTTAAACCGCTGTTTTTTTTAGCGTGTCCTTGTTGCTAGTCCTCCAGGGACAGGTAGAAGTGGTCCTGATGGGTTGGTCTTCTCCAGAGGATGGCAAGGAGACGTCGGAGGCAGTCCGCCTCTTGCAGGAGGAGCCGGTCGCTGGGATCCTATGGGCAGAGAGTCCGCAGATGCCTGAGGGACAACGTCCCCGAGTTCATAGCTGGGCTCGCCGGGTGCACCAAACACAGCTGTCGATTAGTGGAGATGACGCGACACCGTGGGGCGGATAAAAAGGTTTTAGTTGCGACGCATGCACGAACCAGCGCCTGCGACCAATCTGAATGTGTACACTCTGCGGGCTTACTACCTCAATGATTGTGATAGGACCCTGCCAGAGCTTGTACAATTTTGGGGATGTACCCACCGGAACTTGGAGGCAGTTTAGCCATGCCATATCACCCGGCTCCCATTTAGTCCCGAATTCACGGAGAACAACCAGGCGTTCATTTGCGGCTTGCCTCCGGCCCGAATTTCCCCGAGAGGCCTCCCTAGCCTCTGACAAGCGCTTGAGGGTAAGGCGCATGGGGTCGGTGAGTTTACTCTTTCCCAGGTCAGGGTTCAATTGAACCTCGATGGGTGGATCAAACTCCCTCTCATACATGAGAAATAAGTATAACCCGTAAAAACAAAGTTTTTCACTCTAAATCCTTTATATGCGTGGCGGCTAGAGTCCTCTCGTCCTCTGGCTTGAGATGGCTGCCACCTATGGGTCAGATGATTGTCTGCAGTATTAAACAATTGGTAATTAAATATTTAATTTGTTTTCCCTAAACAGTGTAAAATTTTGGACATTTTTTTTCACGAACATTAATTGTCTCGCACAACGAGTCTGTGTGCAAAATGTCAGCTCGATTGGATCATGGGAAGTGGGTTAAAAAACGACCGAAAGGTTTGCACGGTCGTAAGCAAGCAAGCAAGCACGCAAGCAAGCACGCAAGCAAGCAAGCAAGCGAACTTAATATAAAGGATTTAAAATGGCGAGAAGCCGGTGGAAGCATGCGGGGCTAATCTGTACGCAGCAAGGACACCAGGCATGTGCAGGTCCCAGTCAGACTGATCTTCAGTGACCTGGTACACAGTATGGATGTTAGCATCCTATGTAAGCGTTCCACTTTGCCGTCGGTCTGCGGGTGATAAGGTGAGGTACGGACTTTTTTTTGTGGCCAACAGGCCGCACAATTCCTTGAGTAATTTAGAAGATTCATTTTTCCCCTGGTCTGTGAGGAGGTGTTCCGGGGCTCCTTTATCCAGAACGTACCCATGTAAGAAAGCATCAGTAATGTTAGCAGCTGACTGGTCTGGCACAGGCCAGGCCATCGACCACCGCGAAAGGTACTCAGTTTCATTTATTAGGTATAACCCTGTGAGCCATTCAGCTCTTGAATCAGGTGCAACCGCAACCAACAAAAAATGAACAAGAAACATCTTGAAGTGACTACGCGCAACAGAAAAATCCAAGAAAAAACAGCAAAGTCTTCCAGAAAAAGCACCATATATCAATGCTGTGTGCAAAAATCCCAGTGGGATGCAAGTCAAACAATAACAACCTAAGACAATTTAGATTAAAGTCATCAGTCTACCTCTGTACTACAACAAACAAATATGGCTCAACTAAAACGTTTTAGAATCACCAAAATAAAACTATAAAACAATGTAACAGTGGCGCCTACTAGTAAGTATTTATTACCCCTTGGGGTCCTGGGAAATGGGCTGAGCATGTAAGTGCCACGAGCTCGTTGATCCGGGTTACACGGATTAATTTCAATGGAGGGCAGACCGTTTTCGGCGGTGGTTTCCGGCGAGCACATTCCGTGCATCCCTTCAACACATCTTGTACGTCTGCCGCCATACCCGGCAAAACAAAATGTAGGCGGAGCGTAGATAAGGTCTTTTGGACGCCGAGATGCATTACGCGTTCATGCGTTGCCCATATCAGTTTCATTAAGCCATCCATATATACAGACGCAGACACAATTTCAACCGAGAAGATGGGTACAAACTGAGCAATCATTGGAAGAATGTTATAAACCAGTTTAAGTCATAACTGGCTGTGATGTTCCCATCCTACCACCTTCCGATGTTAGTTGTTATTTTCGGCTCTCTGATTTTACATTAACAGGTAAAATTCCCCACACTGACACAGCCACCTCGCTCGCCGAACTCGACGTTGCTGCTCTGCGATCTGCCATTAACAAGCTAATCTCTCACATTAACATTGCCACCTCCGTGCCCTCGTCATGGAGGTCGCCCTCCGATCTTACATTTACATGCTAATTTGTCACATTAACATCACTAGCCCCACCCACTTCGTTTATGACCCTTGGGCTTAACCAATTTTAAACCTTTACAACAGTCTGCCTCAGCAGCTGTCCCCCTCTTTTTTCTTCCAGATGATGAAGGCTTGTGTCGCGATCGAAACATCATAGTTTTTTGTAATTTTTTGTTATATTTTTTTTACCTATGTACGTGACTTTACCGAAAGACCTAACAATATGAAAAATGATTGCACTGTATAAAAAATTTTCTTCAGTAACCTGGATAAAGGCAACTCCTGTTGTGCACTATTCCTCGACTTGTCAAAAGCCTTTGATACCGTTGACCATAAGATTCTACTCACAAGACTGTCAGTTAACGTAGAGGCTTTAGCGACCGATATTATCCATCTTATAATTTTTTATGTGTTGTTGAAACCCGCCACTACCCGACACTGCCAATTAGTAAGGTTTGTCACGTAAACAGAACTTGTCAATTTGTTACTAGTGTAATGGATTCAACTGAGTCACAGACGTAGACTTGGAGGCAACACATTTATTCACTTCCAACACACGGGGTAACTTCCCCCCTTAACAGAATAACAACCTATGGTGGTGACCACCAGGCTAACTACACTAGTTACTACATAACTGCTACTACGGACCGGGAACAACAGCTTCGGTCTGGGTCCACATGTTGGAGACTCGTTGAACGGAGAACAAAGACGAAGGTTTCTTCCAGGATGAACAATCACCTCGGTCCCTCTCGGGACCTGGCTTAGATTCCCTGCAGCTTGGCCGGCTCCGCCCTTGGCCAGAACCACCTTCTAGAATCCTCGGGAAGGATTTGGGTGTCAATCACGTGAGCACCCCTTGCCCCTTCTGGGGTCCCATTTGTAGACTTAACTGGTCACGTGTCCTCCCGGGTCAACCAGAGTGCCATGGTCTCGAGTAACCTCATCCCTCGGCCAGCACCCACACACCCTGTCTTGTAGCGTGGTGCCATCTAGCGCTATCGTTCAGCGCTCACCGGGCCCCTCTAAGGCCGGTATTACACCCACACCCCTGTGGTATCCGTGATGTCGCTACACCGCAGGGCCAGCACTGCACCCAGCATGTTGACATCCAGCGAGGTCACTACACTAGTACAGCACACTGGTGTGTTGGAGAGTAAATCCACAGCATTTACAATTCAAGTACGATGTTTCGCCAGTAATTACAACTAGCATCATCAGGTGACATCCCAATTTTACTTCATCAACTAAAATTTCCAGACAGTAAAATGAAATGGTTTAAGAGCTACCTCTCAGACCGTTCTGGAAAGGTACATAGTGATAACATCTTGTCCACAAATATTAAAATAACAAAGTTTGTTCCATTAGGTTGCATGTTGGGTCCAATTCCATTATCATATTTAAACAATCTTGGACTAAACCTATATCACTGAGAATGAAATATCTTTGCTGATGACACTCTCATGTTAGTGTCAGGTAAATCACATCTGGCTCTGATTGCAAATGGCTCACATGGCAGAGCCTAAACAGACTGAGAGTGGGTTTTGGAAGATGCAACTCTCATGACATCATGGTGGCGGGGGGGGGGGGGCTTCTACACAACCGACTACTGTTCTTGTCAGGAGACGCAAACCATGGATCATCTCATGGGATGCCCTGCTGCATCACAATGCACTCTTAAAGATTTGGCAATGCCAACACCAGAAGCGGTGGCCTGTGCAGAATATTTGGAAGAGCGCCTTAACAACCCCCAATGCAGCTTATATATAAGCTCCTAGTTTGGTAGTGTCTCATTCTTCACCTGAAGACGGCTGCTTGCGTTGTAGCCGAAACGTCGTGAGAATTGTTTTATTATGTTTTATTTTTATTATTTTATTACTTCCCTTCTACGTGACTTTACCGAAAGAAACAAGAAGATGAATCCCTGCAGTCACGAAAGCTTTAAATCGAAATATACTTTAATTGTTTAGTGACTTGCTTACCGTTCCTATACTTTGCACTCATATCATGTTTGTATTGTTTTTGTAACTTTATGACCTGCCCCTTTTGGGCATCTGTGAAAAAGAGCTTCATAGCTCATCGGATGCGTCTGATAAATATTTGGATTATGAATAAAGATGATGATACAACACATGAAGAATGTGGTTGCCAGATTATTAATGTGCAGTCCTGTTGCTGAACACATTGTCCCTGTGCTGGCTTCTGTTCCAATTTTGAGCTGGGTTCAATATTTTTCTTTTCACCTAAAAAGCTTCTTATGATGCTGCTCCTCCCCCATATATACGAAATCTCCTTTGCCCGTATGTTCTAACAAGAGTACTTTGAGCTTCCCAATCTGGCCCATTGTGTGTGCCGAGGTTATATCTCTGTACTATCGGTAACTGGGCTTCTCGTAGCCCCTAGAATGTGGACTTCACTTCCACTGGACGTTTCCTTCATTCAAATTGCGATTATTTTAAGGGCTTGGGGTTGTGCTTGATTGGTGTGAAAATGCATGTGTGTGTGCTTTGTATAGCGCCTTGTGATTTTCGAGTAAAGGCGCTATAAAAGGGTAGATTATAATATTATTCACCTGCTCGTTACTTTCCCCCTTTAGGTGAACGAGGAAGCGTTTTCCTTGAAGATGAAGGTCATCGCAAACCAAACCGGCATGGACATGGCAGCTGAACTGAGATGCCAACAGTTGGAGTTGCAGAGTACCTTGAAGAATTTTGTGATAGGGACCTTAGCAGTCGTGGGCACGGTCGTGGTCGTTGGATTGGCTGTGGCCGCAGCACCGTCAATACCCTTGGCTGCATCTCTGTTTTTGAAGGGGAGGTACGGATTTAAGATGTAAATAAAGTGTTTTGCTTTAATGAGTTTATTTAGTACAACTGAATGGTGTGTTTTATCTGGTTTTTAATAGGTGCTACTTTTAGTGTAACTAGAATGTTTAGCTTTATAACTTGCGACTGCCACAATAAGAGAATATGCTCTATAGCAGGGGTCCTCAAACTACGGCCCGCGGGCCACATGCGGCCCGCCGAGGACATTTATCCGGCCCGCCGGGTGTTTTTGCCGCCGCTGCCTGTCTGTTACTTTTTTTCTACATGAGAAGGACGGTCATTGGTGGAAGAGGGAGAGGGGGCGGAGTTTCCCCCAATCAGACTGCATTGATGGGCAGTGCAGTCTGTATGTCTCTGTGTGGGCAAAGTTATTGCTGGTATATTGTTTTTGTAGCGCTGTATATATTGGTATTTTACTAATAGCAATTTTGACTCCCTAGGAAACAATGATGTCAAGAAAGAGAAAAATTGACTCGGAGTGTAGGATATTCAAAGAACAGTGGACTTATGATTACGTTTTCATGCAGTACAAGGAAAGAGCTGTGTGTCTGATATGCCAGAATATAGTGTCTGTGTTCAAAGAATACAATTTACGTCAACACTATAAAACTCAACATAAAGATAAATATGCTTGTTTGGTCGGACAAGTGAGAAAAGATAAAATATTAAAACTGAAAAATACATTAACAACTCAGCGAAATAGTTTTGTGAAGCAGAAGCAGCTAAATATTTCATCACTGCGAGCAAGTTTTCAAGTTGCCAAGCTAATAGCATGCACTGGCAGACCATTCGTGGAGGGAGAATTTGTTAAAGAATGCCTTCTTTCTGTTGCCAAAGAGATGTGTCCAGAGAAGGCCGATTTATTTAGTACAGTGAGTCTTTTAGGATCTACAATTACACGGAGGATTGAAGAAATGGGAGACAATTTGCATCAGCATTTGCAAAACTCCACAAAAAAACTTTCCTATTTTTCCTTGGCACTCGACGAAAGCAATGATGTTCGTGATTCTGCACAACTTCAAATTTTTATTCGTGCGACGAATGACTATTTCGAAGTCACAGAAGAGCTTGCTGCACTGCAAAGTATCAAAGGAACAACTACAGGAGAGAATATCTTTCGATTTAAAGCTTTCGTGACTGCAGGGATTCATCTTCTTGGTTCTTTCGGTAAAGTCACATAGAAGGGAAGTAATAAAATAATTCTCACGACGTTTCGGCCACAACGCAAGCAGCCGTCCTCAGGTGAAAACCAGGTCTGTTGGGGAGACAGCGTCTGAATGAAACAGCACACGAGCTTGGAGCATATATAAGCTGGGTTGGAAGCGGGGGAAAGAGCGCCTTGACAAAATAATTTCAATATCAAGAGGAATTTAGCATATTTATGGAAATGCAGGAATGTGATTAGTACTACATATGCCCGTGCTGCATATGTAGTACTAATAACATTCCTGCATGTCCCATAAATATGCTAAATTCCTCTTGATATGCAAATTATTTGTCAAGGCGCTCTTTCCCCCGTTTCCAACCCAGCTTATATATGCTCCAAGCTCGTGTGCTGTTTCATTCAGACGCTGTCTCCCCGACAGACCTGGCTTTCACCTGAGGACGGCTGCTTGCGTTGTGGCCGAAACGTCGTGAGAATTATTTTATTATGTTTTATTTTTATTATTTTATTACTTCCCTTCTACGTGACTTTACCGAAAGAACCAAGAAGAGAGGATATCTATGAAAAGGTTTGCCAAACTGTGAATGGTTTGGAGCTGAACTGGGCTAAACTAGCCAGTGTGACAACTGATGGTGCTCCTAGTATGGTGGGTCTAAGAAAGGAGTAATTGCTCGCATTAACCAAGAGATGGACAAACATAACCATTCTCATCCAATAGCCATACACTGCCTCATCCACCAACAAGCGCTGTGTAGTAAATCACTGAAGTGGGACTCGGTTATGAAATTTGTGGTATCTTGTGTTAACTTCATTAGAGCTCATGCACTAAACCACAGACAATTTCAGGCATTTCTGTCTGAGCTAAATGTTGACTATGAAGATGTTCTGTATCACACAGAAGTCCGTTGGCTGAGTCGAGGGAGAGTTTTGAAACGTTTCTATGACTTACTTCCACAGATTACAGCTTTTCTGCTTTAAAAAAACAAAGAAGTACCAGAGCTCAATGATGCAGAATGGAAATGGCACCTTGCCTTTCTGACACATGTAACAGAGCTACTCAACAGTTTCAATGTGCAACTTCAAGGAAAGGGGAAGCTCATCTGTGATATGCAATCACATGTCAAAGCATTTGAAGTAATATTAGGCCTCCTCATCAAACAAGTGAAGGAGGAAAACTTCTGCCATCTCCCCACAACTCAAAATCTGTTAGCGGAAAAACCATTGGTTGCATTCCCAAACAAAACGTGTGGATTCACTGGAAAAATTGCAAAAGGAGTTCCAATTTGGATTTAAAGAGCTTCATCTCCATGAACAGGACATACAGCTTTTCCGTAACCCATTTTCTATTGACATTGAAAATGTGGATACAATTTACCAAATGGAACTGGCTGAACTGCAGAATTGTGACTCTCTGAAAGACGCATTCAAGTCAAGCAGCCTTCATAATTTCTATGCATCTCTCCCCTCTGAGACATATCCTCATCTCAGGAACCATGCACTCAAAATGGCAACCATCTTTGGCAGCACTTATGTCTGTGAACAGACTTTTTCCAGAATGAAACATTTGAAATCTCCAACCAGATCTAGACTAATGGATGCACACTTGCATCACTTGTTACGACTAGCAGTGACAAATATGGAACCGGACATTGACCATCTCATTAGCCAAAAGCAGGCCCATAGTTCCCATTGAAATACTGGCAAGTTTGTTGATTTAACTTTACTTGTTCTTCATTTTAAATATTGTATTTATTCCCGTTTTGTTTCTTCACTTCAAAATAAGATATATGCAGTGTGCATAGGAATTTGTTCATAGTTTTTTTAACTATAGTCCGGCCCTCCAACGGTCTGAGGGACAGTGAACTGGCCCCCTGTTTAAAAAGTTTGAGGACCCCTGCTCTATAGGAATAAGAAAAAAAACTCGTATTGTGTAACCCATGGGGGAATCCCTACTGTCTGACTGAAAAACGTGTAAAATGTGTGAAACATTATTCCTCCTGTACAAAATGTGTTGTTGTGAGACGTGGCTATTGTTATATACAAATATTGTTGGGGTGTTATTTGATTTTTTTGGGTTCCTGGATATTGTTGAGTTGGGCGATTAAACTCTCAACATCTTAAAACCTGCAGTACATAGGATATTTGTCTAGAGCTACCCACAGTTGTAAAATTCAATCACTTTTAAGATATTCATTCTGGTTGTGACAATGATGATAGAAGTAATCGGAAAGTTAATAAGTCTGTTCGGGGTAAGTGACATCCAACATGTTGGGAGCCACTTATCTAGACCAAAATATTCCCATATCAACTCACAGATACTGCAATAGATGGCAGGACTAGGCACTGAAATGCATATGATGGTGCCTTGGAATTGAGTCTTGGGATTGTCTTGAGTGCTGGGCAAGGCATATGGAGGGCAAACGCCCTTAAACATTGTAAACTAAAACATATTCGTTAGTAATATTGTGAAAACACTTGAATTGAACAACTCAATTTTATTGAACAAGGTTTAGTGTTTACATACTCCAATTTGCACGTTCCACCTGTTCGAGGAGGTGATATTCTGTCAGTGTGCAACACCGAGCTTTCACGGATTTACACAAACAGCTGCCTGCATGGCAACCTCCATTGAACTTCTCTTCACTCTTTTATTAAATTGTGCACACGTTTTTCTAACGGAATGGAGACTGCCTCATACATTTGAAAATCATTATATGGCATCAATTTATAGTTTGGACACCAATTGTGGTAGATGTCTAACATAAAAATGGGAGCCTTGTTGTTTACAGCAAGGGATGAATACCAAATTAAATCGAAGGAATTAATTGCCCATATAATTATTAGTCCATTCCAAAATAAATATGTTTATGGGAAGACACATTTAAAAAGACAGCTCTTTGTTCTCAACAAACGTACTGAAATTGCAAATAATTGATTTTTATCAATTGACTATAATCCATGACACTTGTTCCACGGAACATGAACTCGGCAGATGATCGTCGGCCGGATTCGCACGCAAAACCCGGGTACAACGACGGATGAACTTCGGCCTGATTTGCACGCAAAACTCGGGCACAATGGTCGCGCTAACGAAGTTATTCGCGCGCCAATTGCCCGCACTACGGTGAGCTGTTACCGATGATACTCGTGCGTCAATCCGTTGTGCACACGCGCGCAGTTGGCGTGGCTCAAACGCAACGACAATCGACTCGAGGTTACCTCGTGTATTTTCCTCGTCAATCATACCTGCACCGGACGCCCGCGATCGTTTATTATTGAATGCGCGCCGATCACCACACTGACGCGCATACTCACGCCACCCCGCGCTCTTCCCACACTCACAGAAACCACACGGCACTGTTATTTATTGCTGGAGGTGTATTCCCGGCGCGACTGAGGTTAATCACTACGTGACCCAGAGCCCAAATCAGTGAGGAAATTACTCTGTCTCCCGACGGTCTAAACCCAATCCTCCCTGTCTATTTCGAGTCAATTTCCCGAGGGGTCCTTACGCTAATCCCCACCTCTCTCACATACTCACGGTTCGGCTTGGACGTGCGGGAAGTCGGGGGGGGAACCGAGGCTGCATGAAGCTCCTGCTGGGAACGGGTCCTGGCTGCGCTGCGACGTGTCACACGGACGCTCGAGTGGCCGGAAAGTCGACTGCCCCGATCGCTGACTTGAGAAGAACACGAACTCTCGGTCGTCATCTCCCCTCCCCTCTTATTCTTTTCTACATCAAAGAAATCCCCCGGCTAATCCGGGCGGTTTTTTCGGCCATTCAGAGTGCTCCCCCGTGTACCTCTGTCCGCAGGACTCTCGGCCCACCGCTCCTGGCCTCGCCCCCTTCGTGCCGTGCTGTGTGTGTTCTCATTGTGGTGGCGGGGTGGCCTTGCCGTGACCATGTGATCTTAAGTCACTTCACGGCACGGCAGTGCAATTTAAAATGGGGGAAATCTGCCAATTTCCTGACCCTGGGAAACCGTTGCA